TTGGCAATTTTATGAGGGGACTCAGCGAGTCATCCAGTGGAGTCGGCGAGTTCACTAGGCAGAAGGCAGAAAATTCGATTTTTTCACTTTGAAAACCAATAAAACATCAAGTATAATAGAAAACAACCAGGCTTTGATACCACTGATGGGTTTTAGTATACTACAACATCCTATGGTGCACATACAACCCTAAATGCTTTGGATCTATGTTTTCTCTAATTATACATGCAATATTGTTTCCAAAGCATTAAGCCTACAACTATCATACATTTGACATAAACAACATAGAATTGAGTTATAGAATTACCTCTTTGTTGTAGCTTGTAGCTTTGGCCTTTAAGAACTTAGTGCCCCAAGTGTGACACCTCAAATGGTTCACAACACGCCTAGAACAAAGGATGACTTTTGAGAGAGAATATCTTGTGCTCAAAATCGGCTCATGGAACTCCAAGAACTCTAGTGCCCGTTTTTGGATGCTAAGGGGGCTTCTTATATAGTGTGGCAAGATTAGGGTTACATCCATGTAAACCCTAATGCCCATGACCTTTCATATTACTTAGTATCCATGGGTTAAACCTCCATGGACTACCATATTGGTTAGCCATCCTAAATAACAATTGGCCCACACTATAAGAATCATTGATTTACCAAATCAATCCCCATATATTTAATTAGTCTCTTTTGATCACAAAATTAATTCCAAATTAATTATTGATCAATACTAATTAAATCATATGACTTCATATTAATATATTAGAACTTATAATATATTAACAAACCATAAATAACCTCTTCTTAAAAGTCCATCCTATCAAACTATCCTGGTGATATGCAACCCAAATGGACCATGCTACTCTCGGGTCAAGTACGTACCAATTATAGTTATGGGCTTAGACACCTAGTCCAACATTGTCGACCAACCGTGGCATGACCCAATACTAACCGCAACAAGAAATTCGCCCTGTATCGATCATTTTCTGATATAAGGCTCCTTATTGATCAGGATTTTGTGTACTCATTTCCGATGCTTAATTGCTTCTTGGAGAGCACTTTTCCTCTATTCATTGCATCCCAAAACTTGGACTACAAGTGATTTATCTTATGTTGCGAACTTGGACTACAGGTGAGTTACCTTATTGGAGAAATTTCATATCCTTGAATATGTAAATTAACCCCAGGATGTTTATAGGAAGTATGTACCTTAACTGTAGATGATATGTGTATTGGAAATGTTAATCCATTTCTATGAAAGAAAAATCCACTACATATTCCATGTTATACTCTTTTTATGATGCTTGGTGTGAAATGTGTGGGCAGGTTCATGCTAGAAAGAGGGATATGTGTTGTTGTTGTGGTATGGTGTATGCATGTTGTGATTTTCTCGAAATTATATTGTCTATGATGATTAGGACAATGCATGTTAGTGATGCAACACCTCAAATTTTATACCAAATTTTTCATTTTTAATTTACCAAATAAGTTCTCACAATACAAGTCATCAAAAACATAAGTGTCGAAAACAAACATCATCACAAAATATCAAAGTATCTAAAACTGTCCCAGTAACAAATCTCCGAGCGAGTGTGTACAATCGGACCTTCGCCTTCCCGCTATCCTCATAAGTACCTGAAACACATAAATCAACAACTGTAAGCTCGAAGCTTAGTGAGTTCCCCAAAATATCACATACAACACATCATAAAAATAAACAGTTATGGGTTCTCAGCAACCCTGGGGACTATCAGCAGTCACAGAGGGCAACAACACGCCTTATGGGTTATCAACAACCCTGGAGACTATCTGCGTCTCAGTCACACATACACATCATAATGTAAGATATCAGTTAGACCCAGCTGGTCACCACAAGTACAACTATTATACGACACAGGTAAGAATAAGTGAGGTGACTCACCTGATACTAATGACAGATAAATCTCTCACCCGAACTGCCGGAACTAGACTCTGCCTAAAAACAAAATAATTAACCCTAATTAATAATTAAGGTCCATAACTCAATTTGCGAATCCAAATCCCACAACTAAGTCCCTTAAGGGAAAAAAAACCATTTTGCCCTTCCTAGGGTCCAAAACCCTAACTCTTGAACAAAGGTCAAAAGTCAACAAAAGTCAATTGCCCAGCGCATACTCGAAAACCAGGCGGGATCGGGGGCTCACCGGGCTACGCTGGGCATAGCCATTAGTACGCAGGGCGTAAGTTGTTTGGCCCCTAAATTACCCCAAAAATGGTCTTAATCATTAAGGCATGCATGCAAAATCAAATATGACCTTCTTAGAACGTCTTAACTCATAAAGTCATCTACTTTAAGCCTTTTCATGGCTATAGAAGACCCAAAACATAAAACTCTAAGTTCCATCACACTCCAAGCCACTCAACTTATGCATGGGCCAAGGGAAATGATCAAGCAACCATTTTTATGAATCTACAAGACCTAATATACATGAAAGGTCAGCTAATACTCTCTGGAGTGCTCCAAACTCATAAACGTCCAAGCTTTGGGACAAAAAGCTCATAAAACTCATCCATGGAGATCAAAAATGAAACTCATCAATGTATAAACTTTATACCTGAAAAAGATGCACAATGACGAGTAGTTTCTCGATCCAAAAGCTTGAATGCAACACCACCTTCTTCACTAGTCTTCTTCTTCAACAAAAGGCCACCAAAATCACCACCAAGCTTCAAGATCTTCACTCACAAGGAATACACTCGAGATTAGGGTTTGGAAGGAGTGGAGGCTGATTATAGGAGGTCAAGGGTGAGTTAATGTTCTTAAATGGGAGTGAAACCTTACATTTTATGGTTTTAGAGACTGGGCTAGTACACCCAGCGTACCCCATGTATGCCCAATGTACTAGAATGGACTTCACGATCTGAACTTCTCACGACCGCATACCCCTTTTGTACGCCCAACGTACAACACAATTGCGAAAGTTTAAACAACAAGGGACAAAAATAGCAAACTTCAATTAGGTTAAGGGCTAATATAGAAATACCTGATAATCGAATGTTATAATTCTCCCCCACCATAATCAGACTTCGCCCTCGAAGTCATCCTCGGAAAACAGATCAGGATAGTGCTCGCACATCTCAGACTCGGGCTCTCATGTCTACTCAGAGCCTTTTCGGTGCTGCCACTGAACTTTGACCAAGTTCATTACCTTGTTCTTCAAGGTCTTCACCCTCCGATCGAGAATTACCACATGCTTCTTGATGATATATGGTCCATTGGCATGGCCTAGACTGCTCCAGCGCGCGAGCCTGGCCTGGCGCGCTCCTGCCAGCCCTGCCTGGCGTTCCCTTGCGAGCCTTGCTGGGGACTCCCTTGCCAGCCCTGCTGGAGACTCTCCTGCCGGCCCGGCCAGGCGCTCCCTCGCCTGGCACTCCCTTGCCATCCTTTCCTGGTGCGCGCCCGCCAGCCCTGCCCGGCGCCTCCGGGCGGCCTTGCCCAGCTCCTTGCTATTTGGGCCTGAATTGGCCTGGCCCAAGGCTTGCCCTAATTCCCCTTGACCTAATTTTCCCCTATATAATGAACAGTACCTCCTCCATAGAGGAGGATCCTTCCCCGGGGCTCAGCAGCCCTATACTCCGGTCGGGTGGCTCAGCCGCCACCCGCCGCCGTCAGCCACCATACACCACCACTAGCACCAAGATGGTTCCCTCCAGCTATGGAGAACCATCTCAGATCTTCTAGCTGATCTAACTTGACCGTCGGAGTCCACTCCCGGGGCACAGTCCTTGGGACGGCTCTAACGACTTTGCACTGTGATATCCAGATCTCCGCCGCAGCAGAAGACTAGAAGACTCGTCGGAGGTCGATGTCGCATCATTTGTCGCCATCCCGGATCCGAGCATGTAGCAAAAGCCTCAGTCAGTTTCAAGCTCGTTCTTCCTTAGATCTGATGTGTGTTCATCTCAGGTTTCCTCAGATCTGTTAATTTCTAGTATCATTTGTTCAGATCTGTGTGTTTCTTGACAAGATCTGATCAAATTTGCTTCACCATCTCTTAGATCTGTAGATCCATCATATTTTTTAGTTAAGATCTATGGATCTATATGATTTCCTTCCCTCAAACACTCCCCAAGTGTGCACAAATCTTCTTAGATTTGTTTTTGGTTCATATTTGGGGGTTTTCTTGAGTAGGATGAAAAGAAAAAGAAGTTTATGAGCAACATCCCACCTCAGATCCGTTTTTTCACTTTTAATATGGGATTTGTCCAGCAAGTGGGAGAAAAGAAGTTTTTAAGAGTTTTTATTTCATTTTCAGCTCACATATTATCAAAAATCATTTTTAGCTATGATTTTTTGTGTGTAATCCCATCTCTGCAATAATTGTTTGTACACCAAGTTGTGTTGCTTGTACATATCTCAGAACCTTCAAGAAAAAAAAGAGATGGAGAAAAGAGCTTTTCATGGGTTTTTACCCCAGCTTAGTTCATATATTTTTAGAAAACCTCATGTAGATTATGGTTTTCTGTTCATTCAAGTTGCTTAAAAGCTTGAAAAAAAAGAGAGGGTGGGTTTTCACGAGTTCCTGCCCTATCTTCAATATATTTTGGTGTTTGGAGTAGAAAAGAAATTTTTATAAAATTTTGCATCATCTCACGCCCATACATAACCAGAAAATCTCTACAGATTGAGTTTTTTCTGCATACAATTTCACTCCCTGGAACATTTGTTTGTACACACAGTTATGTTACTTATACATCTCTCAAAAATAGCCAATAAGAGAAAAGTCATCCTTTTCAAAGATACATCACATACATTTGACACCTTTGCCTCAAAAGTTGCACCTACCTATTACTCTAGAGCTTACAGTCGAAAACCACATAAAACAAAAATAGTACAAAAAAATCGTGCACATGGGTCTTTTGTTTCATCCTAGCCGACAAAAAAAAACGGGGGAAATGATGCACAGTGCATCAGACAAGTGACAAAGAGTTGTCAGTAAAAGTCAAAAACAAATCCGGGCCCATCTCGTTCAATTCCCTATGTACAGAAAAGACAAAAGAGCCGGGCCCCACCGGATCAACATATCTTCCCAGACGGCCAAAGACCTTCCCGAAACCCCAGCTTCTCTCGCCGGAACCTGGGCACCACCAACTTTTGCTCTCACCTTCATATAAAAAAGGGGGTGGGGGGAGAATGGTAGTCGACCCCACAAATAAAGGGCCCCACCTACGCCATCTTCTCCTTCTGGAAAATTAGAGGATGGTCGGCCCCACGATTGGCCATTATCGTATACGTTGACCGGCGACCCAGCGGACAATTGCAATCTCACCCAGTCGGCATCACGACCACCGCTGCTCCACAACGCACGTCGGACTCCGACGACTAGAACCCAGTCGCCATCACCGGTCAATTTCATCACCATCAATTATCGTCATCATCAGGGGGGGAGAAGGGTGACGCCATCGGATCACCATCGAGACTGGGGCCTCTTTCTTCATCGATTCGCTGCCGCTGGGCGGCAGCCGTTGCCCCACAACCTGGCACGTCGGACTCCGACGACTGGACCCGGTCGCCATCTCTGTTCACCCCCACCGCATCCCCCTGCTGGTCGAAGAACTCCGGTCGCTTAAAGCTGCTCCCTGTCGGAGCACCTGCTATCGCCAACGCCTTCAATGGCGACCCAACAAGCTGGCACCGCTGCCTGGAGGAGCAACGAAAACCATAGCACCACCCAACCAATCTACTCCAACCAACGATTGACGAAGCATCCCCAACAGCGTCGTCGGACTCAATCCCATGATTTAGCGCCGGCAACCGAATACAAAACACTGCCAGTCGCCGCCAGATACCCCTACGCCGAACCATCCACTCGCAATCACCACTCGTCGACCACTGGTGAACTCGCGACCTGGGTTTCTCAAACATCCTCAGTCGCCGGCGTTGCATCTTTTGGATTTTCCCTTCTGACAGATCGAGTTCGTAGGGTGTAATTGGAATAACCTCGCCTCTGTTTAAAATTGGTTTAAGAAGCACAAACGGGCCCTAGGTGATGCCTTTGGTCGGATTGGATCAATTTACATGCAAAAAAAATATAGAGTATTTGGGTTTACAACTCCATACACCCTAATGGACTGCATATGGGCTATAACCTCTAATTTGGGCTTTCCATATATTTTAGCATTAGGCTGCGTAAAATAATCAAATGACCCCATTTTTTCCAAGAATTAATTAGTTAATCAGCCGCTTAACGCTCAAATACTATAATTTTGCTCAAATCCAGTTCCAGAGGATACGTTGCAGTCCGACTAGTTCAACATTCTCTCTCTAAAAAAAAGGGAGGAGAAGAGTAGTACGCTACTGCTACTTATAAAACATTTTGAATTGACCCTCAGCGACCACGCTGACAGGCTATCAGCAACCGTATTGACCAGCTCCAGGAAGTCTCACTGCTCAGCTCTTAGTAGCCGCGCCGCCTGGAACTCAGCAATCGCGCAGTCCAGACCTCAGCGACCACGCGAGCCAACTCAGCAGTCGCAAAGCCCTGTTATGAGCAGTTACGTTGTTTGACTCCCAGCTCTCGGCAGCCGCACTAACCAGTTTTGTTAGCACTTGTGTGCTCTAGCTTTTTCAGCAGCTATGTCGCCCAATTTCCCGCAACTATGCATCCATCGTTTCCATTCCTCGCCTCCTCTAAAAAAAAAGGTGGGGGGGGGGAGTAGAGTCGGTACAACACTATGCAGGAGTGATTTTCATTCCAAAAGGGCATAGTTGAAGTACACAAAGAGCTAATACTTTATGATAGTGCATCCCCGAGGCAGCGTTAATATCCTAAATCGAAAGAGCAACCCCGTGGCTCAACCCTTGGTAGTCTCGTTACCCGACTCTCAGTGGTTATGCTGCTCATCTATCGCTAGCAGCTCGATGCTCAGTTCTCAGCAACCCCGTTGACCAGCTCTCGACGGCAGTCTCGCTACGCACCACTTGACGGTAGCTACACTATCTAGCTCTAAGTAGCATCCCCGCATAGCCCTCGACAAACAGTCAAGACACCGAGGCAACAATTATTAGTACGACTAGCGATGCAGCAAAGCATCAGGTACCATTCCACTTAAACCCAGACTGATCACACGAGCTAGACACATAGATTGTGGGGTGCTACGCCCAATCATGCGAGGTTCAGTACCCTCGCCTTGAGTTGCCTGGCTTTTCAGCCCGGCTCCATTATAGCGGCAGGCTCCGCATGCGAGGTTCAGTACCCTCGCCTTGAGTCGCCTGGCTTCTCAGCCCGGATCCATTATAGCGGCAAGCTCCACATGCGAGGTTCAGTACCCTCGCCTCGAGTCGCCTGACTTCTCAGCCCAGCTACATTATAGCGGCAAGCTCCGCACGCGAGGTTCAGTACCCTCACCTTGAGTCGCCTGGCTTCTCAGTCCGGCTCGATTATAGCGGCAAGCTCCGCATGCGAGGTTCAGTACCCTCACCTTGAGTCGCCTGGCTTCTCAGCCCGGCTCCATTATAGCAGCAAGCTCCGCATGCGAGGTTTGGTACCCTCGCCTTGAGTCGCCTGGCTTCTCAGCCCGAATCCATTATAGCGGCAAGCTCCGCATGCGAGGTTCAGTACCCTCGCCTTGAGTCGCCTGACTTCTCAGCCCGACTTCATTATAGCGGCAAGCTCCGCATGCGAGGTTCAGTACCCTCGCCTCTAGTCGCCTGGCTTCTCAGCCCGACTCCATTATAGCGGCAAGCTCTGCATGCGAGGTTCAGTACGTTTGCCTCGAGTCGCCTGGCTTCCCAGCCCGACTCCAGTATAGCAACATGCCCCGACCATTCCACGCGATGCTCTCTCACTTGATCTATCTACAATCACTAGCAGCCAAGCCCGATCCATTCCGTTCGATGCTCTCCCGCGTAACACCTCCATGATCATTGGCTCTAAGCCCAAGCTATTCTCCTAAGTCGCGCATCACAAGCTTCTTCCACACCATGATCCTGGTGCTTCCTCTCTCACAGTCATCATGATTCTCTTGTGCTCGGACGATCGATGAAGTGTTATCCACATTACAACCTGCTATAGTGAGGATACTCTCCAGCAAGAAGGTCATCCCGACAGCGGCCCTGCTACCTACGACCCCACAGCACCTCTGTTTCCTGGCTCTCGGAAACAGTCCTGCTGCGTAACCCTACCTGTAGCCTTGCCGCGTACCCCACGACATCTCTGTTTCCTGGCTCTCGGAAATGGTCTCGCTGTGCATCCCTACCCGTAGCCTCGTCGCGTACCCCACAACACCTCTGTTTCCTGGCTCTTAGAAACGGTCTTGCTATACAACCCCAACCTATAGCCTCACCGCCTATCCCTCAACAATTCTATTGTCTAGCTATCGGCAATAGTCTCACTGCGTGACCCTCGCTAGCAACCTAATCGCACAGCTCTCGGAATACCTTCCACTTATATTATGGTCAACAACCTTACGGTTTATTGGTTTGACAACATAGTCTGACACGGCTACCTACGCTGCCCACATCAGACTGGGGGGAATCCAGCTAGGTGTAGCCCGAGCAAAAAAGACCCTCAAGACAGTTATTAATGCAGACTATGTAGATGGTTACTGGTGGCATCCCATCTCGCATGGCTACCACAACAATCACGACGGATAACAGTCTCAGGGACTGAATGGTCGCATCAACACTTACGTTGTATCGCACCGATCAGCTTGTACTCCTCTCAATGAAGGAGTATCAAGTCAGCTCAAGCAGTACTTGGCTCATCACACAACCCCATGGCTCTCATGGGAAAGGTTCGGTCGTTCTCTTTATTATTTATTGCTTTGGTGCTTTATCTAGTCCGATCCGATTGTCAGCAACCGAATCGCATCAGACTAGGGGGACTTGACGACGCACAGTTTATATGACTAGTTCCAGTCCGATGTCATTGGCCGTGTACCAATAACACTAGACTGGGGGGACTTGATGATATATGGTCCACTAGCATGGCCCAGACTGCTCTAGCGTGCCAACCTAGCCTGGCGCGCTCCTGCCAGCCTTGCCTGGCGTTCTCCTGCCAACCTTGCTAGGGACTCCCTTGTCAGCCTTGCTGGGGACTCTCCTGTTGGTTTATATGACTAATTCCAGTCCGATGTCATTGGCCGCGTACCAATAACACCAGACTGGGGGGACTTGATGATATATGATCCATTGGCATGTCCTAGACTGCTCCAGCGCGCTAGCCTGGCCTGGCGCGCTCCTGCCAGCCCTGCCTGGCGTTCCCTTGCGAGCCTTGCTGGGGACTCCCTTGCCAGCCCTGCTGGGGACTCTCCTGCCGGCCCAACCAGGCGCTCCCTCGCCTGGCACTCCCTTGCCATCCTTTCCTGGTGCGCGCCCGCCAGCCCCGCCTGGCGCCTCCGGGCGGCCTTGCCCAGCTCCTTGCTAGTTGGGCCTGAATTGGGCTGGCCCAAGGCCTGCCCTAATTCCACTTGACCTAATTTTCCCCTATATAATGAACAGTACCTCCTCCATAGAGGAGGATCCTTCCCCGGGGCTCAGCCGCCCTATACTCTGGCCGGGTGGCTCAGCCGCCACCCGCCGCCGTCAGCCACCATACACCACCACTAGCACCAAGATGGTTCCCTCCAGCTATGGAGAACCATCTCAGATCTTCTAGCTGATCTAACTTGACCGTCGGAGTCCACTCCCGGGGCACAGTCCCTGGGACGGCTCTAACGACTTTGCACTGTGATATCCAGATCTCCGCGGCAGCAGAAGACCAGAAGACTCGTCGAAGGTCGATGTCGCATCACTTTTCGATGTAATTTAGGCGATCATCGACCTGAATATCCTCCAAAGGAACTACAACTGTCTCGTCAGTTATACACGTCCTTAGCTGGGAAACATGGAAGGTATGATGAATCTGTCTCAACTTCTCGGGTAGCTCCAATCGGTAAGCCACTTTGCCCACACGGGCCAAAACTTGGAAAGGGCCAATAAAGCTGGGGCCCATCTTGCCCAGCTTCCTGAAGCGGATAACACCCTTCCAGGGTGACACCTTCAAAAGCACCAAATCCCACTTGGAAGTCTGATGGGTTTTGAGCATAACAAACAATCCTATGTGTGCATGCAACCCTAAATAATTTGATTTACGTTTTCTCTAATTGAGCATACAAATTGAACAACAAATTGGAAACCCTAGTATACTAGTATGTAATCAAAATACACAATAAGGGTTAAGAAAAACATACCTCAATTGTTATGTAGTAATAACAATTAAAACCTTGTGTTGTTGAAGTCTTGAGAGCAAGTGCCACAAATATCGCGCCTGTAATGGTTCATACTCAAAACTAGCAAAGGAAGTTGATGAAGAAGGAGAGAGTATGGAATTTTCGGCCTAACCCTCTAGGGAATCAGTTGGCTGAAAATCATAGGGTTATGCTATATTTATAGTGCAGTCAAGAAACCCTAGATAAGCCTAAATCCATGATTATCTTAAATTGGGTAAATATCCACTTTCTTGATTATCCATTTAGGGATTATTCTAGAACCCTTAGGCTCCAAGAAACCATCCCCACCTTATGGATGGTTCTAGATTGCATCTTGCTCAACTATTGATCAACTATAATTCAGTCCCTGCACTTTTAATTAATTCTTTTAATCCCGAAATTAATTTTAATTAAATTCTGATTAAATATTAATTAAATATTACTATTTCAAATTAATATATTATTCTCATAATATATTAACAAATCATTTATTTCAAGTTATTAATCAAATAATAAATTCAACCTCTTTCTTCAAAATCATCAGTCCAATTGGTAGTTTTGAGGGCAACCCAAAAGGACTATGCCACTATCAATTTAAGTATATACCAATTATAGTTATGGGTTACACACCTAATCCAACAAAATCTAGGTCAAAGCATTGTCGATCCGCATAACTCTTCCGGTGGCTCTAAGCCA